CTTTTATGTTGCAGTAAAAGCTTTTCTTAATGTTTACAGCTATCTAAGGGCAGCTATAGGATATTGTCAAAATTAACAGCTAAACAATGGAACAATTATTAACTATAGACTTCATTTGGATTTCATCCATTTATTCACTAATGTCGTTTTTCTGTCCCAGGACTGAATTCAGAATTCCACATGGCAGTGAGTTGTTCCTCCCTCCTGTGGTTGTTTGTCAATCTTTTCATGTCCTTGACATTTTTGAAGGTCAAGATATTTTGTAGACTGTCCCTCAATTTGAAAGGCTGGATTATGAGTTTTGGAAAAGAAGTGCCCTTCTCATTGCGTCATATGGGGGTATATTATAGCCACATGAATGATCAATATTTACTGCCAAATAATAGCCCATTGGATGCACGTACCACAGTTAGTTGATTCATGCAACTGGTGAAGGATTCTTGGGTTGCTTCCAGATTTTGGAGATTATGAGTAAAGCTACTACACACATTCACATCCAGGTTTTTGTGTGAACATGAATTTTTTTTTCCCCTCTAGGATAAATTCCTAAGTGTGGGGTTGCTGAGTTATATGGTAAGCGTGTGTTTAACTTTCTGTGAAACTACCAAATTGTTTTCTAAAGTGGCTGTTCCACTGTGCATTCTCATCAACAACGGGTGAGTGTTCCAGCTGCTCAGCACCCCAGTTCTTTTGATCAGTGTTCTGGTTCGTGGTTCCTTTTAAAAATACCTTTACGACTGACATGTTTTGCAAAGTGTCCCTTTTGTCTGCATGCAACCCACTCCATTTCTGCTAGACTCAGTATAGAATTTTGTACAACATTATGGAAAAACCAGGGACAACTTATTCATTAGGTTTTCAGGTTCAGCCCCCCTGCCTTCCTACCTTCCCATGCTGTCTAGCAATGAGTTAATTAATGATGGGGAGAGAAGCCGAGCTTGGCAAGTCTTATGAAAAGACGTGGGGGAAGGAGCAGCGTCTGTCCACATCTACCTCACCAGCACTGACCCAGTGAGGGACCCTCCCGGATGCCGGGGCATCCTGTGTGCTGCAGCATTTGCACGCACCTTTACATGCACCGCACTAAAGTCACTGGAACATCAATTTAGTTGCTCATGGCAACTCCATGAACAAATGCCACTATCCCTACTTTATGGGTGAGAAAATGAAAGCTCAGAGAGGGTGACTTATAGCTGGTAGCGCCTCTTGCCCACAGATTTGCCCAGCATCAGAAGCCAAATGTGCCTTGCGTGCTACTGTCTCAGTTTCTATCCCCAAAGGGTGCATTGAAAAATTGGCCTTTAAAAGAGGAGGGCTTTGGGGAGGGGGCCTCCCTGGTGGTGAAAGGGGTTAAGACACAACTTATGAAGCTATCTGCAGCCACTGCAGCACGAGTTTGATCCCCGGCCAGGGAGCTACCCACATGGTGCAGCAGACCTCTCCTGGCTCGCCCGTTGCTCCCCTCAGCAGTGTATTTCAGTCAGTCTGCCTGTTCTGTTCCCCACTCTGTCTCTGGTGAATCCTCTCACCCCCTGCACCTCTGGCCTGTACCCCAGTTCTTGTATGCATAAATAAATAAATCTTTAAAAAAAAAAAGAGGAGGTCTTTGGGAGGGGAGAAAAGAGAGATGGATTCTTAAAGGAGTTTTGTGAGTCTGAATTTTTTCTTCCTTTCTGTCGTTTCTAGTAAACACCTTGAATTGAAAGAAGCTTTAGCTGGGAGCCAGGCAACGTGGGCTCCAGCCCCGATTTTCCACTAATTTATAGTTGTTGTTGTTTTGAAATCCCTTTGGTCCTTTGCTTTCCTTATATGAGCAGGTTGGATGCAAAGAGCTCTCGGATCTCTTTCACTTCCTGCAAGTCAGCTGTAAGAGAGCTGCACGGAGGAATCCCCAACATTCCGCCAAGCACCCTGAGTCTTCCAGCCCCAGTGCCTACGGTGGTCTCACAGGGCCGCCAATAGTGGGTTCCTACAGGAAAACATCGCAGCTCTTAAACCCACCCTGTTTCATAGCCAGCTCTGGAAAACTACACAAATGTCTCCTCAAAGCCAATGGAAACCAGAGTGGATCGCTGTTTTGTTTTCTCCCTAGCATCCATGCCCTTTTCCTGTTGTAAGACTATTCCAGTTTCCCTTTGAGGAATGATCCTTTTTCCATCCCCAGTCCTTGTGAGTCAGACTTAAGGGACAGGCACAGGAAAATCTGGGAAAACTGTACATTTGCCATTGCCCACCCTCTCAATTCCAGTGATTGACTGATGATCGGACACAGGAACCCAAAACAGGCTTAATTCCAAGAAATTGCCATGTGGTACTGGACACCAATTTGCCTCCATATGAGGAAAGTCTGTTGGAATGAAGCAACACAGAAAGAATCAGAGCTGGGATCTGAAGAGCGGCCAATTGCTTACAATATAGTCTGAGCCCCAAGATCCAATGATGTCTGAAGCTTAACCCTGGATTTCCTAGTTCCCTGAGCAAATGTATCCACCTCACTTTTTCAGTTGCACAGTTAAAAAGAATTAACTTTTGTGTAATGTGTTCTTTGAGCTATTTTTTGTGTGTGTGTATATGTGGGACCCTCGCCGGTGGCCAGGGATCAAACTGACGTTGCAGAGGCTGCGGGCAGCTTCGCAACCCAGCACTCAACCGCTGTGCCACCAGGGGAGGCCCTTCTTTGAGCTATTTTGATCCACACATGACCCCCTCTCAAACTGCTATTTATTTTTGATTTTTAAGAAGGGATGAGAGACAAGGTCTAATGCAGTGTTGGTAAGTATATAGCATTGTTGCCACTACTCTCTGCCCCTTACCCATCTAAAACACCACTCATTTATCAGATTCCTGCTCAATATAGAATACTAGGCAGGCACTGCCAATCACTGTCAAGATAAAAACTATTTTCCAACAAAGATAAAGAGACCTATATCACAGGGCTGGTCTGTCTGAAGGACAGTAGCTGATTGCAAAGACAGATGGAACTCTTGTATATTGGTAAAGTCAAATAGTGCTCATCGTTAGCTCTGAGCCATGACCAGGGTCATCCACTTGCTTGGGGTCCCTCTGCAGTGGCCTCTGGGAGAGGAAAGCATGGAGAACAGTTAGCTGACTTCTGGAGCTGAACAGAGGCAGCAGGCCAGAGGGGTCTGGCAGGTGCCACCTCGACCCCATTGGCTATGTAGCCTCACTCAGCACTGTGGGGGCCTCAGCCCCAGCCCCGCTTCCACTGTAAACACCGGCCACGGCATGATGGATGAGCCCTGCCTACCTGCCCATGGTAGCTCAGGGTCCTGGGGCTGCCAACTCTGAGCAGATTACGTTTCCATAGGCAAAACTCTCCGACCAAAAAGTAGTTTCTTTCTAAGTTGGTGCATTTTAAATTCTGAAGCTGAAGGATGCTTTTCTCACTCTCCCAGAACTCAAAAATCAACTTGACATTTCTAAAATTACATTTTGAAGGCAATGAATCTACAAAATGTATCACAGCCCATGCCAGCTGGGGAAAAGTAAGAAAGGAGGAAATAGAAATGTTTCTGCCTCCCTCCCTTAAATGTGAATATTCTTTATATACTACTAGCTGGGGGTAGGGGCGAGGAGATGTGCAGACCACTGCAAATGGCAGGAACGTTTTCCAGGAGCAGGTGCTCTCTGCATTTGTGAGGGTTCTGCTGCAATCTGGGTTCAGATGGGTTGAAAATGAGGGAGAAGCAAGACTGGGTGTGAAGAGAGTGGGATACCTTTGTCTTCTTCATGTGGGTGGCTGAGGAGGACCCCGAGGTGGGCCCCCGAGGAAGCTCCCTGGCTGGGCAGCACATAGGCCACTTAAAAGAGAATCAGGCCGCAGCTGCTTCTTCTTACACTGGAGGGGTGGCCGAGGGGCTTTGTGTGAGCCCAGATCAAAACACGCCTATCAAGAGGGATCAAGAGCCCAGCCAAGTGGATTGCAGATGGGAAAGGGAATTGAGTCTCTTTATTTTAAACACAAATGTAAAGAAAATTCAAGGAGAAAAGGCCCCCATGTGCAATTCTCTCCTCTTACTTGGAGCAAAGCTGTCCAACTACACAATCCTTTCCCCTTCATGCAGAGATCAACTTTAAAATTGCAACCTGCTAGTATTTAAAGTGATCCATTCAACAGAGAAGAAGCCACCCCCGCCCCCACCAGGCTTCGTGGGCCTCCAGCCTGGGTGGAGCAAGTCAGCCTGCTGCTTCAGCTCCTTACTGTGGGTTTCCACGGCTGCAAACAAAATGTGACTCAGGATGAAACTATGAGTCCTTAATCCACATTCCACACAGGGCAGCTCCATTCAGCAATCATTAATCCAGTGCTTACAAGATGACTCCATGGTGCTAAGTACTGGGGAGACAGATGTGGGGACATGGAGACCCTGTTCTCTGCGGTTGCAACATCTAGTGGTGGGCTGAATGCATTCAGCGCAGGCCTGGGGGGCCACAGTCCTTGTCTCCATCCCCCACACTGTCTTGTAGAAAGTGGGGGCTATTGCTGTGTCCAGGGCCTTCCTTTAGTGTAGACAGTGGGGAGCTGGGAGCCTGGTGCTCCTGTGTGTGTTTGGTAAGTGCCCCAGAGACATCCTTTCAGAACCGGGATGGAGGTCCTAGGAGGACAGCAACCCCTCGTAGGTTCACTGAGCACACAGAGTGAGAACTGAGTGACTTCCCCAGAGCATGTGGCCTCTCACTTAGCACATCAATGACACGGGGAGTTGGGGGGGGTGACACAGGTGCCACCTCTGGGGTGTCTAATCCTGGTGGAATGTCTGAGCCACTTACGTGTCCATGTGTAAAGCTAACTCCATTCCTGCCAGAGCCAGTAAAACCCATGTCCTCCTCGGCCTGCCACATGTGAGGGAGGCATGGGGTCATGTCAGCAGCTTCATGCAGACGGGACCCGTGCTCTCCCTTGTCCCTTTCAATCTTCACCTACTCTCACACCTCCCCTCTGCGTCCCCACAACAGACTCTATTAACTTGACTCTGTGTCAAATATCTTTTCCATTTAATTTTTTTTTTTAAAAAAGCAAAACAAAGTCCATATCACAAGAGGCTCCAGAGATACATGCTTTTGAATTCCAGCCAGGGGAAGGACAGAAGGAGACACCAGTATCTGCAGGTATGGCTGCTTTCCAGAGAAAGGTTCGTGCAGCAGAGACAAGTCCACTTCTCCTCCCTGTGCAGACACACAGCCCACCGAGCAAGGCTGGGGCACAGTGTCTTTGGTTGGCTGGAGCTTCGTCCAGAGTTCACTGGAAGGGGGCTTGACGGAGTCAGGGGGTACAGAGGAGGCGTTCAACTCTGTTAGCCCCCTGCTGTCTCTTAGGTTGTAGGACATGTTATTCAAACCTAACACAAAGTAGGTTTACGTTTTGAATTCACAGCAGCCCAGTGACTCATCAGCAGTCAAGACGCGGATGTCGGCAGGAGAGCGGCTGGTCTGGAAACCACTCTTAGACAATTCTGTATTGTTTAGATAGAGAACACGCTAAACCCTTTAAACCCTTTATACCAAATAAGAGTAAATGATATACCAATATAAACAGGGCCTTTGACCCTTGCGTTTATTAAAATGGCACGGAAATATTAAAACAGCACACTGGTGGCTCCACACGCCTGTGCACAGCCGGGCTGTCAGCGGGGCGGCAGGGGGCTCCCTCCCAAAGGCTGCAGATTCATGCATTGAGCAATTCATGTTCTTTATCGGTTTTCCCCACAGCGTCAGGATTTGATAATGGGTCAAGGTCGGCGAAGAGGCTGAACCAGGCAGTCAGGTCTGAGGCAGCCTTGGCAGGCTCTGGAGAGAGAAGAGGGGAAAAAAAAAAAAATGAGCACCCTCACCTTCCAAACGCCCACCTCCACCATGCTGAGACGGTGGGGTGGTTTCCCCGGAAAGGCAACAAGGAAACAGGGAACGCACTCTGACAGACAGAGCCCACAGCATCCCGTCTCAAAAACTAGCATGGGAAGCCCAGGCCCCTTGTTGGTTGGCTGAGTAACATTTCAAAACCATCACCTAAAGCTCAGTGGAGGAAGCTCTGTGTTCACCCCACCTGCATCCCAGCCACCTGATGGCCACAGCCCACTGAATGGCCTAAAACCTCAGACCTGCCAGTTCACCACAGGCAGGCAACCCTATACTTTTCTCAAAAACCAGATCGAATGGCTAAGGAAGCTTTTCAAATCTACTGGGTCAAGAGAAATACTGTGGACACTCTTTCCAGACTTTGACGCCCCAGGCCCAGAAGGGGGTTACCACCTCATCTGGTTCTCTGTTCTCAGGGTTGCTGCCTTCGTCAGCCTCTCCCATCAGAGGAAGGAGGCCCTTGTCAGGCCTTCCCCATCCCCAAGGGGCTCTAAATGCTGACATCTTCAGCTTTTAGTCTCACTGGAGCACTCCCTTCAGCTGTTCCTTCACCAAAGCCCCGCCCTGACTTTCTGAGCACCACGATTAGAGAGTCAAATTATTTTCCAGATGAGAACATTTTCAAAAGAGCATCTAATGCAAATGATGTCTAAATAAGTCGGGGGTTCGTCTTTATATAAATCATTCCACATGAGACTCTTAAGTTCATCGGCTTGGATGGCCCATGCTTTTTCCCTTCTGCAATAGGTGTGAGTATCAAAAGCATGAAGAAAGGTTCTTTGACAGGTTATCCTTTTAGCTGAGAACTGCTGGGACACGCTTGCCATCTGGCTGAAAAAGGTTTCAAGATATATTGGTAGGATGGGCTGCTGAAAGTGGGCTAGAGGGAAGGGAAAGATGAGCTGGAACTATACTCACAACAATAGGTCCTCCATCTTTCACTAAAATGGCCCTCAACCATTAAGACTTCATACCAGTCACTTCATGCTGCTCCTTTCTCACCCCCTCCCCCATTTTGTTCAAAATCTCTTGCAAATATATTACTTTATATTGAGATAATCAATGTTCTATTATAGAGATAAAATTACTGCAAGTGAGACTGGTTGGTAATGTGCAATTTATTATTAACTGAATTCCATGTGCACTTACTCCTCAAAACAGTTTATTTTGATGTGATAAAAGGAGACTTCAGAGAACTTAATATAGCTTGGGCTGGGGAGGGGGCTGGTGGGAGGAGAAAGAAGCTACTTTCAAAAAATGGAATATCTTAACTTTCTTTAGGAGAATTCTGTAGGAGGTCATACAAGGAGACTTCAGTGCAAAACTGATTTAGGAGGATTAGTCTATCTCTACTCTTGATAAAGAATATCAAGATATCACCAATGCGAGTATGCAACATACTCACTTCCCCTTTCTCCTCACCTCCCAAAGGTCTTAGATGTCTTGGGATTGCAGATGTGGCCCTGCCATGAAAAGCCAGGGGCTACTCTGGGGCAACCCTCACAACCCCCAGTCCTTCACTGTCAGAAAGCAGGTGCAACTACTTGCACAACATCTAAGGACATCACGGGGAGGTTTTTTGATGATAATAAAATGGACACTTCCTTTAATTTCCTGCGATGAACAAAGGGAAAGTGGGTGATGACCAACACAACAAGACAGAGCTACAGATGGAAACATGGTCGTCAGTGGAGCGATGTTCTCTTTCAGGCCCTGTCTCATAAGACAGCAGATCTCATGAACTTGAAAGGCCTCGGACAACTAAGAAAACTGGGGTGCCTTATTTGGTAGTGGCGATGGCATTTTCAGAAAAAAGAGAGCAAATCTCAGTGGCCTTTTCTAGCCTATTTCTACCCAGTTCTGGGGAGCACACAGTCACATGGTGGTAGATATTTGATTCTTATATGGATTTGCTACAGGAAATCATAAATTAGTATGCTAAGCTAGGAAAAGTCAAAGTGTAACACCTAGGAACATTCAGCTCCACCCTTGTAGCCCCTGCTTTGAACCCTAGTGTTCAATTGGAAATCAGTAAAGAAATACTGGAAATAGTGTTAGGCTACTGGAAAGGAAGGGAGAATGTCATTTCAGGGGAATAAACACTTACTACTTTTCACTTCAGGGCTGTGGTCATTTAAACTGCTTGTCTTTGGTGCTGGCCATGGTCTCTGACCAGCCTAATGTTCAAAACCAGAAGTCATTAGATTGAGGGAACATCAGTCCCACGGACCCACCAGCTGCTGGGCACAGACATGGTTCTCAACCATGGTGGCCTCCAAAGAAAGGGAAGAGGGTAGAATGACAAGACTCTTCTCCCATGACACATTGTAGGGGAGGGGAGATATGTTTAGTCATGCCCAACTCAAAAGCATGGAAAACCAGTGGAAAGTTGGGGTTTTGAAAAGCAAATGAGAACTTGTTAAAGTTAAAGCATTTTTGCTTTTAGCTTTACGCCCTGTTTTCTTCACAAGTAACTTCATTTCACGGTCGCACCAAAGACCATCAATAGCCTTGCAATGAAATCAAGCGCCTTGGTTTCTGTAACAAGTAGGGGAAGCTTAGCAAAGAGAACAGCAGTAAATGTAGCAATAACCTAGTGAATTGCAGGCTTTCTCTACTTCCAGTATCATCCACTTTATTTATTTTCTTCATGGTTAATTTAAGTTGGGACGTTTAATTAATTCATAGAAAGGTAGTCCAGTGGAAAGACACAAGAGAAAGCTCCCCTCAATTTTATGCCCTCTCCTTACAATGGCATTTAGCTCATATACCCCAACATCCAGCAATGCCCCATATGCTCTGCCTGCTCCTAATGATTTAAGGGGCTGTTCATCTGGGGGGAAGCAAGCTGAACTCCCCAAGGTATTTACTGTCTGTGTGGGGATGTTTTCCCATGGCTCAAACTTTACTTAGAACTTCACGATATGCTTCTTTATATGTACGTTTTAATTCTGTGTAAGTTCTGTCTTCTCAATGAAACAAGGAGTTTTTCTTCGAAGTGTTCCAAAACACCTAATGTAACACAGGCACAAGTGTTTGTGGACGAAGCTGATTCTCACTGTCCAATGCAGACCCTCAGACACTTCTGTTGGGTTCATGGTGGTTAAAACCATACCCCTTGACTGGGGTGCTCAGGCAACAAGCTTGTTAGAGAAACACTTCTTTCTCTGGTAGGCCCTCGTGGGACATGGAAGAATTCAGCTGGGACAAGAAAGCCACTCGGGATATACCACAAAAATGATAGGATTTAATGCCACTCATTCACCCTGTGGTTCTAAGACTTGTAATAAGGGACTTAATTATTGAATCATACTCTATCTATTCATTTGGATTTTTTGTCTCATCTCCTGGAGCTGTGAGCTCCCACAGGGCAGGGACCATGTATAGTTCATCTTTACATCCTTTAGTGCACTGTCTGGCATATGATGGGTGTTCAAATATATGATTACTGAATTAAGGTAAACTACTGACATTTTCTTTTGAACTGTGAAAAGCACACTTATAAAGGGTTATTCTAAGAGATGACAAAGCAGTGTCTGGCACACAATCGACGCTATAATACTCGCTGAATCATTTCATTTTAGGCAAGTGGCATACAAACCTCTTTATGAAGACTAACTAATGGCAAATGAAATAGGAGGCCTATCACCTATTTATTGAGTCTAAAATAATAAAAACGTAGAGGGTTTTTAAAAGTGTTGCTATTCATTGGAGAGGTACTTGACCATAATTCATAAACAATCAAAGGCACATATTTTGAGGGTACTTTCTGGGGTAATGGGAATGTTTTCACACCAGACTGTGGTGACGGGAACACAGTATAAATTTACCAGAGATCCTAAAATGTTCTCCTACGACAGGTACATTTTATGAGATATAAATTATAGTTCAATAAAGCAGTTTCTAAAACATAAACAGTGTTTGGTATAATCCAGAAATAACATAATCTGCCTGGTTCCTAGAAAATTGGCCCATGAGCATTTGCTCCTAAACCCAAATCATATAAAACAGTGCAAACAGTGGAAAGTTAAAGTTGTGGTTCCATTGTGTGCCAAATAAAGCTGGAAATGGTAGATTCTAACTGGATAAATTATACCCTTTCCCCCAATCCTCCCCTGAGACCAGGTATAGTTAAGACCCACTGTGCTTCATGGGGCCTTTGCAAGCCCCCCACGTCCCCCCTGCAGTGGGACCTCAGTTCTCCTAGAGTGAGGATTCTAAAAATGTGGTGCTCATACAAGCAGCTAGGAGCTGGTTAGAAATGCCAAGATCAAGGGCAAACCCTGACCTATTGAATCAGAATCCTCAAGGGTAAAGCCGAGGGTACTATTTGAATAAACCCTCAGTGACTGTTACACAACTGGAAGTATGGGGAGCACTGCCTCAGATGGTCACCAAAGAGGCCGCCAGGGCCAGGATCAGGGTCATCTTGGTTGAGGCCAGAGCCAGGACAAGCAGTGAGGTCCACTCAGAAGACAGAAACATGGCGGGTTCTACAGTATACGCACTTTGATCCTTCAACCTCTCTGAGTCCAGGGAAGCACACATTTCCAGAGAGAACCCAAGTTGACTCAGACAAAAGCCAGGCGAGGTGCATGTAGCCACCCCCTGTCTGATCTCTGTATGCTGATGTATTGGGAACTCAATGAGACTGTTTTCCCCTTTTCAAAAATATGTATGACATTCGTTTAAAAAAAAAAAATGGTTGCAGAGTAACAGAAAAGAGAGTAAGATTCAAAGCATTGTACTGCTCAGAGTATAAAGCGGAACACACTCCTAGAGGAGGCAGAGATACACCTCCATGTAAAAATGGAGCTCCTTTCCCTTTACATAGTGGATATATTTCTGAAAAGCTGTTAATCAATAAAATGGCTGTATATCAAGGCATATTTTAAAAGTACCAGAAATAACAGTCATATCTTCAAGCCTAT